ACACAAGAACGTATCGGGTTTTCAACGTGCAAGCGAAAAAAATCCCTTACTAATCTGTGAACCAAGTGTTCACCCAAAAGAAAGTATGTTCATTCCACTGAAATAGGTTCAGTCAGCTGAAGAACTTTAAATGACAAATGTGCATGTCGTCATGTTACACCACAAAACAAGAATGTGTTCTTGTTTTTTTTTAATTAGCCCTGTACACGCCATTATTTCCAGAAATTGCATGATGTAAATAAAGAAATGCAGATGGTTAATTAAAGCACAGCCGGGGCAAATACTATAATAGATAGGCCGCGGCTTCAGTATTTCGTGTATTCTTGCATATTTATTATCTTATGTAGCGGCGGGCACTACATAAGCTATGCCGAATTTAAAATGTGGGAGCCTTCCGATCGACAAATAAAAAAAGTTGACAATTAAAAAAAAACAAAAAACAACAACCTCAAAGTACCGGTTGACGAGGCTAACCTCAAATCGCAATGTTAGACCTAACGTCAAGCCAGCGCATACCCGCGTTCCAGCCTCACGTCAAACATCTGCGCGTACCGGTTGGCGACGTTAGATCTCAAAGCGTGACGCTGTACCTAACGTTAGGCCCGACGTCAGCCCAACGCATACCCCCCCCCCCCCCCCTTCCCACCTCCCCTTCACCGCTGCCTCGCCAGCAGTTGGGCTGGCTCCTCGGCAACGACGACCCCGTTGCTAGGAGCCACATGACGCGTTGCACCCAATGGCAATTTAGATCTCGTTACACTCAGCCAATGGGAATTTAGGTGGCGTCTTTCGCCGGGACATGGGACAGTTAATGCTTTCACATTTATACATATTTAATCTGTTGAAATAGTAAATATTCGCAAAATGTTTTAAACGGGAAATCGGCGCTAACCCAACCATGTTTTCACCCTATTTCAAACTCTCGATTATCACCGAACTTTAGACCTCTATAACTCAAGATCGAACGTGAATTTCGAAATGCTCTCCTGGAATCAATTAAAGCTTAAATTAATACAATAATCGTATTTGACTTCAAAGATCTGTGGCGCCAACATTTTCTTCCTGGGAAGTGAATGTCATGGTCTCTCTTTTAATGGGGGTCTGTGGGAACCGTTCATTGGCTCAGGAAGAAAATATAATGGTCTTGTGGCATTGAATTTCTTCAAATAGGCGGGCTATCAGGTCAATACTATAATCCTCCGAGTGCAAAAAAAAAATCGGCGGGTTGTTTACTGATTTGCAAAAATATAAATTGTTTTGCCCATTGAGTTAAGCTAGGGCGCTGACGTGATTGCAGGGAGATCGCATAAGTTGTAAGCAGTTGCGTGTCCCGGATTCTCAGGAATTACGAACTGAACAAATGGGGGACGAAAACTAATGAATCGATTTATGAGACCTGTTCGCTTTTTGTATATGGCTTAGCTATGTCGCTTTTCTCGGTTTTCTCTGTGTTTTTTTTTTTTTTACGCTGTTGTTTTGTTTTGATTTCTGTATAGGCCACTATAAGGGATCAGGGGGTTCCGTAAAGCTGTTGTTACAGCTCTTTTCTCCTTGCTTCCTCCATTTTGTATCAACATGGAAAATAAAGTTCCTTAATAATAATAATGGTAATAATAATAATAATAATAATAATAATAATAATTCTATTGCACAAATATAAATACAATATATACAAATGCGGGTCCGTCAAAAGCCAATAGTGGCTTGTGGGACTGAACCCGGCAGCGGCGTAAAAAATACCAAAACTATTCACATGAAAACAAAACAAAATCCATGAATTATTTGAAATGCAAAAAAGGAAAAAAATATTTAAAAAATCTGAAAAAAAAAATAATAATAATAAAATTAATGGAAAAGCTGACTTACGAAAGATAGTAGCGCAGTCTCGTGGGTCTTCTGAAAACTGCACACATAAGGAATTAAATATAGGCAAGCAATCGCTTTTGTTCTTATTCCCAAAAGGAAAAATACTTTCGGAAACAACAGCAATAACAAGAGCGATTGTTTGTCTACTTTAGAGTGTCGTCAGTTTGTAGTTCTGAGAAAAACCGCTGGACGGCACTCAATACTGGCAAAAGGTTCATTGCGGTACGTCCAGTGCAACGTTACTAGAACAACTCAGTTGAAAAACTGCCATAGAGCCTGCTTGGACAAGGTGGCTCCCATCCGTAGTCGAGAACCGAACTAAGGGCAATCGGAACACCGCCATTTCTCCCGCGGCGGCTACTCTGGGAACTGCGCGGCTACACGTATACACGTTTGCAAGTCCGGCTTCAGGGCGCTGCCATCTTGCTCACTGGGGTGCGCTTAGACGCGTCCTAATTCGATTACGAAGCGTTGCTAAGGCGTCATAATCAGATTATGGCCTCGGCCAAGCGGACCCCAATGGGAAGATGGCGGCGCCCTGAGACCGCTTCAGGGCGCTGCCATCTTGCTCGCTGGGATGCGCTTGGACGCGTCCTGATTCGATTACGAAGCCTGGCTAAGGCGTCATAATTAAATTATGGTTTTGCCCAAGCGCACCCCACTGAACAAGATGGCGGCGCCCTGAGACCGCACTTGCAAACGTATATTGGTTGAGGCTAGGGGTGTCGCGAACCGGCCGAGGTCGAGTTCGACCAGGTTCGACTTTTTCAAACTTTTAATGGAAAGTCTGACGAACCTTGTATTGAGGTTCGACTCGTGTGCGCATGCGCGACAGGCTGGCCAGTTGGCTTCGGATTGGATGGTGATGGCTAAGAGATGAATTAAGGGCAGCGCTGACTGATTATTTCAGTTAATGCAGTACAAAAAATTAAGTTAACTTCTTCAGTGATTATCTAGAATTGGTTTCTTTTAATTGCAACTCTTCATAAAGTAAAATAACCGATTGCATGAAAAAAAAATTCTCCAAACCTAGACATACTTGTATCAAGGTCTGGCCACACTGTCCACACAGTCGAACCGGTTGAATCTGCCGAAAAAGGTCGAAGGTTCGTCGAACTGGTTCGACCGAGTCGAACCCCGAAGGTTTGACCTAAAAATTCGGTTCGACAAAAGTTATCGACAACCCTAGTTCAGGCCGGGGGCCCTAATCTGGACCTTTGGCGAAAACGTCGGCGAAAAATCCGGTGGCTCTGATCGACCGGCGCCAAGGTCAAGTGTGGCGTTGGCCAATCACGGTCGCCAGATTTCTCGTCGACTTTTTCGCCAAGTGTCCAGATTAGGGCCCCTGCTCTCGGAAAGGCTGGTGGCGCCATCTCGCAGTGCCATTGCGCAGTAGCTATATAAACCAACTTCCATGTTTTGACTCGTGGCTAAAGGGCGGCGCTGTTATCGTATCGAGTTTTGTCGCGGTTAGACGCGAGCGGTCCGAGTTTCAAGGGTGAGTTTCCCAACTGCGTGTTTTAGTAACGTTGGTCCAGTGTTAAAAAGGAGCGGGGCGAGGACTGATCTTCATTGTAGTAGGCTGGATCGCGGATCGGGAGTTCTTCAGTGGCACAACCGTTGGCCATTGCTTCACGCCATCCTATAAACGCAAGTCTATGAGATACACACACAAAAGTAGGAATACTGAAGGTTATAATCGATGCTTGTAGGCGAATATTTTATGATCTCTTGCGATCAACATATTGGGTGTTTAGATAGGGAATCGGGTATTTGTCAAGCGTTCGAACACCCATTTAACACATCGAATGTGCAGGAGCACAACCTACTTTGCCGGCGCCATTTGCTTCAGTTGCCAAATAAATGACACGTTCAACAAATGAACAACAAGCTCCGACTATTTTTGGTTCGTCACAGAAGACCTTAGTGTAGTTCAAAGCAAAAGCTTGCACCATAAGTGATCTCTAGAAGTGCTTGAAACATTGTGCATGTCCCCAATTGATTGTAATTCCTTCTAATTTATTGTCTGCTAAGCGCTGATGACTTCAAGATTACGAACGACTTCACATTGACTCTTGGCAACACTTGTCTCATTGAACCGCATCGCAGTTTACGACCAACGAAATCACAACCCTCGACCCTCAACCACAAAACATTTATTTAGAAAAGATTGGTGTCCTAACGGATTCGATATTTGCGCCCAGAATATTATCTCCCGTTCCCGGAAAACACGATAAACGTTTCATTGTGGAGAACAACCTGCTAAGGCAAGAAATCAGTTTTCCCCGTTTCGCCCTTAGAGCCCCATGCTTTAGCTGGTGTCAAGCGATAATTGCCTGTGGTGCCGCTCGACCAACGCAAACAAGCTGTGATCCGCGATTCATGCTACCACAATAAAGATTTGTGGCGGAGGGTAAGTCATCGTCGCCCTATGTGTACAGGCACAAACTCCGGCAAGTCGCGAGCCCTGAAAAAACGTGCCCGTGTATTCCATCCGTTTAACCCGGCAACACATAGCGTATTATAAATTTCAATAGGTCGACTATTCGAAAATGAAAACACTGCATTTGGTCGTGACGAGATTTCGTGGATTGGTCGATCGAAACCGGGAACTAGTGGCCAGCCTGTACCCAAGGTGGGTGATTTCCGCTACCTTTTTTACTAGAATAATAAGTGCCGCGTCATTATTCGTAAACAAACACAGGTAGACACACACACACACACACGCACGCACGCACGCAAGCACGCACGCACGCGCGCGCACGCACGCACACACACACACACACACACACACACACACACACACACATACACACACACACACACAAACACACACACACACACACACACACAAATGGGTAGTTAATACGCAAAATCGTGAATATGTTTCTAACAACACGACGCTCGAGATTTGTGTAAAACAAATATGCTCGCTTTTGTGGGGTTTTTTTTCGGAAATTGCAGAAACCATTTTTGCATGATCGGATTGTGTCCGCATTTTAGATGTGTTTTAGCACATGCGTTTCAACATTAATTGCATCCTAACTGCCGGACATGCTCCCTCTAAGATGATATATGATTTTGTTACCACACTCGTGAATGACGTCGCTTTTTTTTTCTCCATAGCATTGGAGAAACGGAAGTCATCGGCGAAGATGCTCGTATCACTTTTTCCGAAGGTACGTTTTGGTATTTAGCACTCCTCGACCAACATCGTTTGGATTGAAGTTTGTGCAACGGAAGGCAACGTGGCACTTAGGATTGGGTAGTTCACGAGGCCCTGAAGTTTTATCGGAGATAGGAAGCTCGCTTTGAAGACGGAGATACTGGCGAATTCTAGACTTTTATTTGCCTAAAGGTGGTTCAAATGCTGACAGAAGTATGGCCCAGAATGCTGTCATCATGGCACAACGCGCGCATGTTCGTCGCTTCGGAAGACGAGTAAAGCACGCGCAATACGTATGAACGCTGCAAATGGCACCGGTCAGAAGCTCGCTTTTAGATTAGTGTATACTGGCTAAACCATTAGTCGACATTTTTGCATGCTAGCGGCGCTTAACTTCTAGCATCTTCCCGGAAGCCATCACTTTCGGATGACAATGGCAGAGAGGCAAGTATTTGTCGCCGTGCAGTGCTTTCTCGATTATTTGAAGTTTCGTTGGTGAGAACATGCAATCACAGGATACGAATTTGTTGGCATACGTCAACAATACACACGGTTCCTTTTTCCGGACTTGTCTTTTAGGTGAAGCGCAAAAGACGTTTTCTTGAGTTTATCTTTATCGCATATACGGTGTTTATCAAACTTTAGTTCTTTTTAATGACCATATCTCGGCAATTCTGCGTTTATCGAAATTTCATTGTTATATCCTGTATTCACCTGAATTAGAATTTTTTAAACAATAACGGCAAAAAAAAAAGCCTTGAACTAATTAAGACGGACATTTTTATTGATAGCAGTACTTACAAAGACATTGCCCACTACACAGCAAAGGCTTATACGCTTCTCCCTGTACTAGATTGAGCTTGCAGTAATCAATAATATTGTACGGGTGTCAGCTGCAATGAAAGGATTTGTTAATTGGACTACATGCAGTAGGATGCTATGAAAATAGCTTTTCACTGCTTTCACGTGATAAAAATGTTGCCTCCTGGTCCTCCCCACCCCTGTTGGAAACCCCAAAACCCAGTGCTGCTTGCGCAACACACATGCTTAGATTAACTCCTTTTAAACCAAGTAAAGTCAAAACCTGTTTTATTTACAAACCTGCCAGGTTCTTAGTGTACAAGTTTCTTTAATCGCGCATGAAGGAACACCCTGTTACTGTACGCAGTGAATGTATAACTAAAGAAAAAAAGCATACAATAGGGTCAATAAAAAATCTTGAGTTACTCGCGATTATAAATTATAATATTGCATCCAAATATATTACATGTAAATCTAGATGAGCAATGGGAAACAAAGCACAAGCTAAGAACACGTATAGCTTCAAGATCAAACAGTGCACTACCAATAAAGGAGGAACAAGAACATATATGCTGCTAAAAGTTTAATAAACACTAAGCAAACAACGTAGCAAAGGACGAAAAAATAAAAAGCACAGCTATATTAAGTTATTATCTTGATTGGACGCTAATGATAAGCAGCCTTTATAAATCATCCCAGGCTAGAAACAGGAACCCAAACGATAATCGAAACCCGAACCGTGAAGCAATAAAGAACGGAATCTTTTTATTTAACTCTTACCGGATTGGAACCGATATTATATTAAAAGGCTATGGCAGTGGCTTTTTACTGCTCCCCTGTGGTAAAATGTTGCCTTCTTCTCACCCCTGATTCAAACCCCAAATACAAGAGCGGCTTACACAACGCCCGTTCTTAGATTAACTTATTTTATAGCAGTGAAATATTTGCAAACCCTTACGTTCTTTGTGTATAAGTTTGCTCATTCGGGAAATGATACAAAGATTACAAAAAATCTTAAAGGAAAGTCCTGTTACTGTAGGCAGTGAATGTATAGCTAAACGAGAAATCATACAATACAGCGATTAAAAGAGAGCGAGTTTATTGCGATTATAGCGTATAACATTAAATATCATTATATTAATACTAGATCGAAGTGATTCATCTGGCACAATTACAGCGCAAACTAAGAACACGTATAGCATCAAAATCATCCAGTACACTAACAATAAAGGAGGAGCAGGTACACATATGCCGCTAAAAGTACAACAAACACAAAAGGGCATAAGGACGAAAAAAAGAGGAACGGCAATATTAATTTCGTGTACTGATTGGGCGCCGATGATAAGCCGCCTTTATAAATCATCCGAGGATAGGAACCCATCCAATAATTGAAACCCGAACCGAAAGCCAATAAAGAAAGGGATATTGTTTTGTAACTCTAACCGGAACGAAACCGATAATGGATTAGATGATGAGCCGAAACCGGAACCCAAACTGGAAAAAAAGTTTACCAATAAACTAAACGAAGAGTTTCAGCACTAACGTCATATCAGCAATATAATATGTATAATAGAAAAGGAACTCAGAGGTATTATTTTCGAATCCCGTGCATATTTTGTAACGATTTATGTCATAGATGAGTGGTACATATTTGTTATGAAAATAATTAATTAAGAATCCGGGAAACGATAGTGGTATACTCTAGGAAACAATAAGTCGAAGCAGTTAGGTGAAATACGTACCACCGGGTTGGAATCAAATGCGAACAATGCCGGAACTTCGAGCGCACTTGCCACGGAGCTTCGAAGCTTGGGGTGTTTCTGGGCGAGGTTCAAACACATCGGAGTAGGGACGCACCACTTTCGCAGCTCCCTACTCTCCGACCCGCCGGGCCGTCAGTTTCCAGGGGTCTCCCGATGGCGCAGCGTATGTCAACGGCCACGAGCTCCAGTGTTCACTTTTAATTCGAACCCTATAGTACATATAGCTTTATAAAAATAATACTGGACGCTTTATTTTTATTTGGAAAGTCGTTCAATAAAAATTCTTGTATTTGACGTACCCTAATTTATACGGTATTCACTGTGGACAAAACGTGTCTTACTTGGTGCATATTTCAGCTTACTTTGCTATATAAAAATTATGTCTAATCTCCAGGTTTCTAGGCAGACTTTTCGGTTTCCGGTATTATATGAAACAAACAAATGTATGCCGTAAAATGTTTTCATAAATATGTGACAACCATTGCCTTTTACTTTCCGTCGAGACGCCTTTATTTAAAACTAAATTAGTTAGCTCTTTATAGCTATGCTGTTTGGTCACGAGTGTGACGCCTAGCTCTCCCATGTGCCACAAACGAAAGCAAGACGAAGGGTGTCGGCCATGAAAGACTCATACGGCCTGACTAACCTGGAGCCAAGCGAGTGCGCCTGGGGGGTCTTCCAAGGACTCTAAGAGTGAATGAGATACCGCGATGACTTGACCGGATTCGGGTGAAGAGTACCCTATATGCGATATAAAGTAGCAGGAATTGTATTTATAACTTTTGCTATGCAAAGACTGCAAGTTATTAATCAGGTACAGACGCCGATCATTTCATGTTTACTTTGTTTATTTGCCATCTGAATGGCTGTAGAAACAAAACAAACGAGAGTACAAGTTCTGTATCGCCCTGCAGTTAGCGTGCTTATATGTGCCCTGCTGTTTGCCTTTTTATGTAATTTTTTTTAACAATTGTCTGCTCTGGCGTTTTGTTCTGGCACAATATCTACGCTCAAACAAACGCTCCTTCATTACGCCAAATTGCATTTAAAATAGGCGTTGATTACAACAATGCAAACCAGCTGTAGAATAGATCTTCAAACCTTTTTATCACTTACAAAAACTAAGTAACTTTATAATAAATCTAGGTTGGTAGTTACACCTAGCAACGTTGATATTTTAAGACAGATAATATAAATGGCCATCATTAAAACGTATACCTGAAACTCTCACTTTACTACTTTTGAAGATTACACGGTTGTTTACGTATCCTCAGCTTCCGGTATTTTTTCTCCATTTTAGTGCGGTAGTCTTATTCCCGGAATGATCCTGGGAGAAACAGAGTTTGCTGACTTGTGTACTGGTGGCTTCTGCATCATCAAATTACTGCCCTCGTGAAACTACAGAATTCGGGGAACGATGGTGGCTTTCTCGTAAACGTTCTAGAATTCTTTTTTCTTTAATTTTTAAAAGTAACGTTTTATGTGGCACAGAATGGCAGTAAATCATTGTCCTATCAGTCCTCTCTTTATTTTTTAAACAACAGAACTTGCAGAGCGTCACGCCGAGTGAAGGGTGGAAGTAGATCATTTTTATAATGGCCCTGCCAGGAATTTCTTCGTTTTTCAATTTACCAAAGAAAACGCGACGCAACATATTTTCCGGTCCTCTGTCAAGATTCCAGGCACTGTTTTGCAGAGATATCTTTTTTTTTTCTAATTTTTAAATCCTTGGAAATAAACAAATTGGTGATTTGAGCTAGTTCGTTCATTGCGTAAATTAAAGTGCAAAAAAAAAAAAAAAGGACAGAGCGAAGATCGACGACAATACAAGGCGACTTGTATTGTCGTCGTTTTTGACTTTGTCTGTATTTTTTTGCGTTTAAAATACCCTGGATAGGATTGTCGCACTGTCGTCTTATTCCATATTCAATTCTTCTGCTATTAGTCGCACACCCCCTCTTTAATCTGAGATAACTAGGGTCTGCACTCTGCTAATATTTGCATCAGTCCTATGTATTTTGGTAGGCCGCTTTTTTCGACATCATGAATAAAGTTTCTAGTCTCCCTGAACTCAGTGTGCCACTTATAAATCCTTTATTTCGTTATAGCATATTCACCATAAGCCATCGCTAATGAGGCTACCATTTCACTGTCACTTTCACCAGTATCCACAAAACGTTATATGTTAATCCGCTGCTCCAACTTCCTGTCCCTCGTTTTCTGCAATCAGCTTGCTTAACACGAACGCGTACGCTGCACAACGAAGTTAGCGCGGACACGGCGTCCTCGCTTTTTCTTTATTAGGTTCAGACAGAGTATTAATAACCGCCCTGTCTTTCCACTGCAGCTTTTCAGTAGTGACGAAAAAAAACTAGGCAAATGCAGCAACCGCATGTTTGTGCTGACTATGTCGCATAGTGCACAATTTGATCCTTTATGCGAAAGCCCATGAGATATATCGTCTGCGTCTCGAGTAAGTACAAGTTTGAAGCTTGTGCTAAACCAAGTCGGGTCACATGTCTGTCTGCTAAGATTCAACGCCCCAGCGTCACACTGCGGCGATATCGGGAAATCAATTATCCCGTATCCGAGTTTCGTTGTAATTGAGTGTATACTTAATTATCTTTATCTATTGTGATAATCCACAGCTCATTTTTTTTATAGCGGAGCTGTTAAGGGCTAGGCTCCCCAGGATCGTATCCGTGTATGTCGACACAAACCTACCTGAACAGCTACCGCCATCTATAAGCGACGGCGGCAAGCACACAACCAGTAGGGTTTCCGCCGTCGCTCATAGATGGCGGCAACCTTTCCAGCTATAATATAAGAATGAATAGTTGTGCGCGTTGGTGTGAATTCATCATAGGAAACAGCACGAAAAACAGACGACGACGAAGAAGAAGCACAGAATGTATCCAGTACAGCTCCGCTGGTCTTCCTTCTTCACGAGAGTGGAAAGGCTGAACGTTTTTTTATCATTTCCTCTCACAGGGTTTTCAATCTGTATTTAAATGAATTTTCAAATAACCAAGTGACTTTGCTACAAAAATATACCAAGGTCACTACTCTTTATATAATAAAAAAACGCAGAAACAAAGCATTCACACTCATGTAAGGGTGCTGGAAAACAACAATCGATATTCGGTCACATGACACATAATCACAGGACGCGCCTCAAGTTTTCGCATATAGAAAATGTCTTCTTTTTTATTTTAAAAAGTTTGTTCGGAAAAAAAACAAACAAAACGTTAAAGCTTCCCTAGTGGGATTTACGCTTTGCGGAGGTGAGTTAAAAGGCCAGGGAGACAATATGTAGGGAACTAATTGTCACCGTCAGTCTGCTAATTAACTAAAATACGTTGATTATTTTTTTCAACTGTTGAGAGCTAACATGCGGTTTCAATTAGAAACTTGCCGAGCGTCATCGAAAAGGGTGAGAGCAAGGAATAGCGCTAAAGCTATCATTCGTGCAGCAGGAGCAGTGTTGCAGAGCCGCGTTCCAAAGAACGATGGTCCTGTAACGCGTTTCTTTTACAGGGAACAGAGGAACGCTGCTGTTCCATCTTTCATCGGTAAAACCGGAAAGGGAACTCGTTATATTGTTTAGGAATCGGCAGGAAGAACGGCGTTCCGTTTTTTCTCTCGATTTATCTGCAACATTACACACTTTCAGTAGGCATTCATACGTTTTATTATCGACTATTTCAACCTCCAACCTGAAGGGATGGGGGAGTGCCCCATAGATAGGTGAAAACAACGAACTGGAACGAATGTGACCGTGGTGTCCAGACGTGCATATACAATGTGGATATTTTAACGCGAGAGCGTTAAGAAACGCGTATCGCAGAAAAACCAGCGTCGGTGGCGTGTGCAAAAATCTAGGATTGGTCTATAGGGTCATGACGTCACAGCTGCATGACCTTGCGCCGCAATTTCGAACAACCCACAACGCTCACGTGAAACGTGACGTCACTCGTGGAATGTAAGTTATTGAAAAACATGACATTTCATACCGATTAAAGGAGTAATGCAACGATTTCTGTATTTTGCGCAAATACCGCTGAGAAAGGATAACTGACGTTAATGACCTGTGAAATACCCGTTCGTTTTTCACCACACGCAATCGAACTCGCAGAAAAAAATAAGGAAAAACGAGCAGACTTCACCCCCTTAACTCGCAGCCAGAACAAGCGGCCACCTGATCTGGAGCCGATTATATGCCGCCAATGTTGATCATAGCCATCCGCTGGGGCTGGCAAGGCACAGGAATCGCGCTGAGTTCCAGACATTGTTATGGTTCGGCTGTTGTCGTCATTGCAGCGATTAGACACAGGACACTACCCGAATGCTTATCGAGCTATCGATTACCACGAGCCCAAATTCATTGTCCTCGCCATTCTCGGGTCCAATTTATGAGCCGAATTCAAATATCGTCACTAAGCGGTACTGCTACCGCCCAGCTACGTCATCAGGTTTTGCGAAGGAGAGACTGAATGAAAACACTCGGTTTTGTCCTCGAAATCACAGCGTAGCGAAAGAGTTTCTTGGTCAGTGCCGTTGCGTGCGAGTTTCCTAGAGTCCCACTAGTGCCAGTAAGCTCGTGTAAAGTGAAAAAAAAAAAAAACATTCCAATTGAATATTGTTGCACCGCCCGTTTAAATTCTACCGAAACCGACAGTTAGCTGACCACGTCACCTCAGCTTTAAGAGAGGTTGTAAGGCGGGAAAGCAGAACGTCAGTTTCGGATTGTTTGATTTTTTTTTTTATATATATATATACGAAAGAATAAGCTTCACAGAATTGTATAAAAAGTCGGACTCGGTGGGACTCACACAAGTGCTTACTGACAGAAGTGTGAACGCACAAGCATGCGCAACCAAAGAACTGCGGAAGTTTGAACTATTGCGGTCGCGCCAGTGAAAAACAATTATTTAATATATGTCTTTCTAATGAGAGGTTTATAATTTTTCTACTCTCAGGACACATTTATACAGTGATATTTGCCTCAATAGATTAGGTAAACGAGAAAAAAAACGTTGTGTGTGTCCGAAATTTGAATTTAAAAAAAAAAAATAATAATTTCAGACTAAAATGGCAACATGCGTAAAGAGCATAGGACAGGAGCAACTTCCCATTGATTTTGCACTTCCGGACAGATCCCGAAGACGGCGATCGTGCTGCTGGAGTTCTTCATTAAGCGCGAGAGCAAAGTGTCCCTTCTTCGCGACCCCCTGTCCCACTTCTGCCAAGAAGAGGTGGTCCTCCACGCCCAGGAGTGTCTGCTCAAACTCAACAAGCAGGTGATCAACTTCCAGGACGTGCGCGACATGGTCGAGAACCTCGTCGCCCTCCACAACATGGTAAAGACATTCCACGTCGGAAGTCTCTCCTCGCACGCCGACACGCCGTTGACAAAAACAAGCCCAGGTTTTCCGTCACCGCGTCTGCTGGGCACTGCGCATGCGCAGAAACCAGAGTCGCGCGTGAAGTTAAGCGTCTGCGCACGTGCCGCACCGACAGCAGCGCAACTGCAGCGGCGAGGTGTATTACCCGTTTCACCTTAAGTCTAACTGCAGCCGACGCCGCGATTAGGAGGAGCTAATCAAACACCGCCAAAAGAGCATCGTCACGTCTCTGGTCGCCTTTTTCAGTTTCACCGTGCTCAGTTTCATAGCGCAGACTGTTTGTTTATTATGACTATACACATTTGCAGCCTCGTCATTCAACCGAGCTCATTCTGTTGATTGCAGCTGTTGGCTATGATTTTCGGGAAAATAGACGCGCCGTGAGTTTCGTTTTTAAAGAGTGTACTCGGTGCTAGTTAAACCAATGATAAACTCCAGGTATTTTCTAGTGGCGAAATGCAAACAACTAATAATCCTGGCATTTTATGTAACAAAATGTACACCTGTGCTCTAAATATACCGCTTTACACTTCCCGTTTTACAAGTACCCTTTTTACTATAACCTTGAGTGTAATTTTGAGCTTACAGCTGGGCTGCTTTTAAAATTAAATGTTCTGTTGCCAGTACACAGTAAAATTTTGTTCGGACGAATTTAAATCAGGCTGAAATATACTTTTTCTTGATAATCACTTTCTTGTGTTTTTTTAACGTTTAATTTATATAGTTTTAGTGTATCACAGTTTGCAAACAAGACATTAGTTTGAGTACGCAGTACTAAATTTGTTCCGCAAATTTTAGGCTCTATTCACTGCTAAACCCCGAGGCCGCTTTGGTCTTTTTTTTTTTTTACGTTTATTTAGCGATATTTGCGATATTTTGTTGCATCTGACAGAAACGCCAAACTTTGGCTTGTTTCAACATGGAACGCTTGGCCACCGAGACCCGATTCCTCTACTGGGCGCTAGTAACACCGTATAAAACTATTAACTAATGGCAAACATTCGTCAGTTACAGCTGCACATGGTCGAGTTCCATCTTGAAAAAAAGGTCCCATATGTGTGTCTGAAATGTCAGGTGGTTGTCCCGTGCACGCTAAATTTCCTCTAAAGAAATAACAACCTGTTACGCTTCTGTTGAAAATTTCCATGAAGAAAACTTACATAGCCAAGACATGTTTATTGTCATGATTGAAAGTTTGTTGTGAGACATTTTCACATTCCAAAACTACGAGGCCGCCCTTTTATGGACAAATGGTGTAGGATCACATTTCATGAGAACACGTGTAGATTCCATCATTCTTGCTGCGGCGCAGTGTATCAAGAAGAACCCTGATGTGGCCAAGACTCTGGGCCTGACTGTACGCAAGCTGACCATCATCGTTGGGGAGGTCGCCGGCAACCTGGAAAAGCTCGCCGAGGTGCCAGTCACTGATTGGATGGCTATCGGAGACGCCATAGTCTCCAAGCTTGAGCAGGTCATTTATGCTCATAAAAATCTCCGATTATGTTTTGTGCACGTAAAATGTTTCGTGCGAATTTCTTTTCTTCGCTGAAAACAAGTTTTTCCAATTTATTCGCAGAGGCGTCTGTTTGTACGCTTCTTCCTACAGGGAGACTGTATCAATCATTTAATCATTTTCATTTTTATCTGGACATATACGTACAACTGCTGGAGCCCATAACCTAAAATAACATTGTTTTGCATCTCATTTTTATTTTGTTTTGTTGCAAAAGTTTAAACTTTTATTATTTATCCCCGAGAGAGCTATATCACCTGCAATGGAAAGCAATTATGCTACAATTTATAACCTGTACTAACCTAATATAGAAAAAAAAATTTAATCAAAATAAAGCAGCAAATACTAGCTTTCTACGCTATGTGGCAGCACTGGCGTAGTGCATCCTGTCGCAGATAACCTTTCTCAGGGAGTTACCGGATCGTTTGACGTTATAACCACGAATATTTTGCATAGAGGTTTCGGGCGGCGCCGGGAATCTTGTTTTTCATTAGACACGTTTATGCCCAATTATGGGGATCTTGACCAAAATCTGGTAAGGTGGGATTTGCGTGAGCGAAGCAACGCCTTCCATTGCAAGTCGCAATGGTCGACTGTAAGTGTTCTAAGTTGATAAAAAAGCGCTCGGGTCCGGCCCATAAACAGTGCGAGCAGTATCCTTGCGTACAATGAATTACGGAGGAATGGACAGCGTGAATAGTTTTATACTCTATATTTTGTAGAATTTCCTTAACCAAGTTCTAACCCTCTATCGTCTGTGCTTCCGGCTCTTGTGTAGCTAATCTCTTGATTAGCTACACTTGTCATCTGCTAAAAAAAAAGAGGCTCGAATATTGTTAATTATTCAATTTACCGTAAAGCAGAAACCACGTGACCGTTTTTCACGTGTGTGGCATATCTTCTCTAACCGATACCGTGTCCCTCATTTGACATCCAAGATTGTCTACGATGCAGTGATTTTTTTTATCATATTTTTCTGCTTATGAGGCTTAGGGCTCTCTTGTTTTCACCAGCTGTCAATCCAGGCTGAGCGGATTGTTTGTTTTCAAGAAGAATGTAAGACAAACAATGGCCATTGCAACAAAAACTAGCACGTGCTGATTACAACCCACGTCTTTTTCACGCTTTAGAAACGTAAAATGTTTTTATTTTGGGCTTTTGTTACCGAAAATAAAAGTCCTATTTTATGACTAAGTATAAGGTGCTTATGTTCACTGCAATTGTAGATTGCTGAAATAATAAACAAAATATATTTTCTTCATTCTTCAGTTTATGATTTCAGTAACATCTATTCATTTATTTCTTACGCTTAAGCAGTTACAATTAGGGTTTCGACGACAGACCCAAGGTTCGGTTTTAGATTGCTTCAGAAGTTGTCAAACAACATAAGAAGAAGTTTCGACGGCACTCTAGGCATTTCGAAAAAGCTCACCGTGATTGCAATGCAACGCATGTTTGACTTGCTTGAGAGCGGCGAAATAGTAACAACATTTGAGTACGGTTTAAATTTAAGGAAATTCAGCGTAGATTGCATCTACCGCTGTGCATATAAAAACATGCGTAAGCTATAGAGACAACCAGTTTTGAACGCAACTTTCAGGTCCGAAGTCCAGGAACACCGAGTGTAACCCTATTGCGTACCTGAAATTTTTTATAGCGCAGCTCTTAGGCGCTCGTTCTCGTGTTTCTTGGCGTCGGCACCGCCGTCGCCGTCAGCATAACCGGAGAGGGAGAAGGGGAAGGAGGAGAGGAGGGTCCTCCGAACCCTCCCTTCCTCCTCCTTATATAGAATCAAGAATCAAGAATAATTTTTATTAGGTGTCCAGGAACGACCATGCGGTCTTGGTGCTGGCACACCGAAACTTACACACTACAAAAAAGTAGGAAAAAAACATAAAAAACTCAAAACATTGAGTAAAAGATATGATACATATAACGCATGCTGACACAAAGATACGATATACACAACAAGGAAAGAACGGAACACAGGGTCCGAACGCAGAGTAGGAAGACTACCACAACAACGAATATACCTTCTTAAAATAATATATAATAACATCACAATCACCGACAGGTTCAGAGAGACCCATACAAGAATCTGAGAGATCTGACAAATTCAGTCACACAAAAAATATCAAGATCACTTCCAATGCCATTATATGCCCGACACATGCGAAACATCGGGTCCAAGATATTTAACGTTCGAGGAGAGTAAAAAGACGTTGTCAAACGGGTCGCTGTCCGAGGAACTCGCAAAGATATCTGTGAGAGCAGTTCTGAACAGTCGGCCATACCATGAAGGACTTTGAAAAGGAAAACCAGATCTGCCTTTTCTCGACGGTGATATAAGCTGTTCATTTGTAGGACGTCCAATACATTGTTACCCTTTGATGGAGATGTTTCATCTCGCAGATATCGATATCGATAAATAGATAAAAATTTGTTTTGCACTCGCTCGAGCCTTAGGAGGGTAGTTTTACAACTGCCATTCCATACAGGAGATGCATATTCGAGTTGAGACCTTGTCAAAGAGCGGTACAGGGTTACAAACGTTGTGGGGTTTTTAAATACTCTAGTCGTTCGACAAACGATACCGAGCGCGCGCAAGGCGCAGGTACTTATACGAGCCACATGGCTATCAAATCTCAAGGAGGAGTCAAAAAGCACTCCCAAGTCCCGCACTTCACTAGAACGGCACAATACGTCTGAGCGAACACTGTAAGGGAAACACGTCGTTTGCGTTTTGCGACTATAGGACATGACCTTGGTTTTCGAGCTGTTTAGTAGGAGACCGTTCAGTGAACACCATTTGCTAAATGAGTTTATGTCCTCTTGTAGAAACTTGCAATCTCAGATAGTTCTAATCTCCTTAAATATCTTAATATCATCAGCATATTGCAAAAAAGACGAGTTTACAATCTGCTTACACACATCGTTCACAAAAATAGAAAAAAGAAGCGGGCCCAGAACTGATCCCTGAGGTACCCCAGACGTGGCCGTGTACGTAAAAGAATACGCGCCGTTCGCACGAGCAACACATGTTCTATTAGACAAATAATTCTGAAACCAGTTGTGTAGCTTTCCACAGACACCAATACCACAAAGTTTTGATAAAAGAATGTCATGGTCAACCACATCAAACGCCTTACTCAGATCAAAGTAGACCACGTCGAGCTGGCCTCTTTGGCACACAACTTTGGATGCAATGGACATAAATGAAATCAAATTTGTTGTTGTCGAGCGTCCTGCTACAAATCCGTGTTGGTTGGAACTTAATACATTTTTTAAACGAAAGGACAATGTTTTGTGGACCACCATTTCGAAAAGCTTCGAAAATGTACACAGCAGAGACACAGGCCTGTAGTTTGATGCAGTGGTACGACTTCCAGACTTGTAGACTGGGACTACGACTGACTTCCTCCACATATCAGGGAACACTCCTGCTCTTAAGGAGTTGTTGAAAATATCATAAAGGAGGGGCGTAAAAATTTCGTGAAATGCTTTTACAAGTGTTGCTGGAATACCATCGTGACCTGTGGACATGGTAGGCCTCAGTTTTTTTATGCATTCCTGAATCATTCCCTCATCCACAGGCAGGGAGGAAATGGATTCGTTCACGCTAGGGGATGGCGGCTGTTGGTACCCACTCCTATTGTGTTTATATACAGAACTGAAATGACGCGCGAATATATCGCATACACTGGACGTGGTCACATTCTCCTCATTAAGTATAATATCAGGATGTATCAATTTTCCTCCTCGAGAACGAACATGTCGGTAGACATGTTCGTTTTTTTTTACTTTCTATATATATATATATATATATATACGGGTGCTGTTTGTTGACCGTCCGCACTCTGCCATGACCTGATGAAGAGCGGTCCCCGCGCGAGGACAGCGCAGCAGAGGTTTGTTGCACGATTTCTCCACGGGACGCGGTGCCGTCGGTATCGAGAAGCGCTCCAATTGCAAACGGAAGCTTAAACCCCCTCGAAATTGTGCGGTTTTTCAGAAAGCCGTAAAATGCTGCGCGTGCCTTCTATCGTTCTGAAATTTATCTAATTAGTATTTTTCGATGATGCTAAGCAAGTTTCTAATTGAAACCATGCATTTAAACACAATATTAGAAAGTTAATTACGCAAAAATAATTAACAACTTAATTATATCAAGCTTTAATAATTTTCGTAAAAGTGGCCCCTGACCCAGAGCCAAAACGACACAAGCCTTTTAATACAGGCCTTTTTGTTGCGGTGCGTGGCTTTCGCAATACCGAATTGGTCCACTTTTCATGATATATATATATATATATATATTTGTTTATACTGGAGTATCGACGCGCTTTAAGGGTTTACTTTGAAATTGGAGCCAAAAATGTATGCATCCTATCATATTTGAAGTTTTAGAAACATAATTTTAATTCTTGCAAAAAAAAAAGGCAGCATGAGATTTCTTAACTTTGCTAAATGTGTCGCTCTCCGAATTTGTTTAGCCTAAGCCAATGCGAATCTGGCTACTAAAATTGCATTGTTACACAGCAGGATTGTTTAATTAAAACTTGTGCATTGACTATTACATAAATGAGTTCGCTCCTGTTCCTCCGTCACGAAAGAGTGTGGTGCTTCGTCGCTTCTGTCAAAGCTGTCCTTTTCATGTTATTTTGTTGGAATATACTAAAAAAATCTAAAAACAGGATATAAATAAAACAATTAACACTGTGAAAGTCACTGTTTCGGCTGGTATTCTATTTTATTAAATAAAAAGCTAACGGTAGGGCGAGCGATGTGAGAATCGACGGTCACAGGTAGTATGTTTTGTTGGATGCGACACTGTTTCTTTTGAGAATAAAATTGAAAACCCTTTGAGGATGCCGCTATTAAGGCACAACGCATTTTAAGAACAAAGGTGCACACTAAACTAAGCAACTGGGCGAATTGTACAGGGGCCAACGATAAAATGAGACGCGGTTTTTCGACTCGCAAAAATAGACTATACGCATCTCAGAAAGCTTCTACATACCCCTGCAATATATTTTTTATATTATTTTTTTTATTTTTTTAGCTTTGATGAAAATTAGGTTTAGGTGGACGTCGACACATTAAAAAATTATACTTTTGTCTCGTAGCTTTTTATCGAGGTAACGTCATATTATCAAACTTTCGCATTTTGTCACCACCGGAATCGTCAAGTTCTCACAGAGTTTGTTTTCTACTATAAGTAGTCTATTTTTTGTGACCGAAAATCCGCGTTTCATTTTTGTTTTCAGTTGAATCTTTTAGTTTGATAAAAACAAGGGTGTTTTATTGATATATCTATTAATTGTACAGCATGTCAAAGTAAACCCTAAAAAGCGCTGATACATCTGGTCTAAAAAATTGTTGATATTACCTAAACGTATCCTTATGAAAGAGGCTCCAGATAAAATTTATGTCATCACTTCAGTGGATACTAGATAGTGGGATTTCGTAGACCCTAAACATAATCTCCCTCTGTGTGTACCGTCTTAATGATGGCATTGTCTTTGTTGAATCACCAGATGAACCTGCCAAAGCAGCCTCCATACACGACTTTTATACCAAAGATGCGAGACTTCAAGAGCCTCAAGATGCTTGGGGCTGGAGGATTTGGGTAATTATTCACTTAAATTTAGGAAAAAAACATTACAAGCGAAAGTGATGTATATCTTAGAAGATAAACGTCTTAGATCCATAAAGAGCATAAAAGACAGTATATCAAAAGACGCAGAACGTCTGGGCAGGAGTATGTTCTTTTATTCTGTGGCAGCACTCTTCAGCGTACAAAAGAATCGTTAGATTCATTACATTTTCGAAGTGAATAACTTGCGATGACATATAACGAAAGACTCTATAATGCCTATACTGTCTCAGTCATAATATTTACATAACATTAGTGCAATAAATAGGCAATCAAAGCTGTTGCCAAGTTAATTATTTACTAAATTTTGCTAACGTTGCAAAATGTGAATGTATATCGTCTTCACCCGCCAGTTAATAAAAAAACAGCGTTTTTTTCTGAATGCAGAGTGATTTAGCAAAAACACTCTACATTGTGCGTAACATCCGACTTTATCATAAAAAAATGTCAAAGCGTTTGAAACCCCATGCGTGGTCTAAGTATTTGAACCGAGCACATTTTCATTTGCGATGTGGCTTTAAAATATATTATTCGCTATCCTACAAAGGGATAATGATACATTACGTTTCAGTTTTTCCACATGCAAACTTTCTTCAGAAACCTCCTGAATTTCCTTCATTTCAGGGCCGTGTATTTGGCCAACTACAAACCGGCCAATTTCGTCGCGACAATCAAACTGGTGGCAATGGATCGCTTCAGCAAGCACAAGCAAGCTGCCATGGACAAGGTGGTGGCGTCTGTCGTCAGAAACCCATTCCTAGTCAAGTATTACAGCTGCTTTTGCGTCAAAGTAAGTCTAGATCATATACGAGCTACATTTTCACGTAGAAAGACCCGAAAATGTACCAGCTGACCAGTGAACGACGCAATGCAATAACGTATATGTGCAAACCTGTGTGGTATTATCAACCAAATGCTGCTGGCCAAGATAATTTGTTTTCATTTTTTTATATTTCCTATATAAGGTATAATGTGTGACTACCTAAACATAGATGTTACTTACATTCACCGCGTTCCGTAAAACAGAAAGCTCTGCTTCTCAGTTAGTTCGTGGCTGCTCCGAATCTTCGGGGCACGTATATTTGTTTTAGGTGTATTTTTTAATGCAAAAGCATTTGTCCCATGGAGCGAACTGACATTATGAGCTTTGAAGCCTTGCCAAAAGGGTCCCTTCCCCTGTCCCAATGCCGTCTGTAGCAGAAATCGGATGGACAGGCTCCCATTGGCTGTCGCGCGTCATCAAGGAACGAGGCTCCCATTGACTCTCGTGAGAGCTAATTCCATATAAAACCACCTGAGAAGCCCTCTCTATGGCGGCGCAGCGCACGCAGCGGCCCGACTGCCGGTAAGTGCAGTAAGAGGGAGCGGTGGCCGCAGAGCTGGCAGAGCCCGCCCAGGCAAACTTTGGAGGGGGTGCACGGCCGAGCGTTGCCACTTCACGAGAGAGCGCGCTCGGCTGTCGGCCGGCGAAACGTGGCCGTCTGCACCACTACGCCGCAGACGAACTAATGGAGCGGAAAAACTACATTCATTCTTCCGCATTCACGACTCATAAAAAGTGCTTCGGTTTCCTCGGACTTTTTTTTGTTTGTTTTACTATATTAACAATTATTAAGAAACCCCGTCCTTCCTCGACTCAAAAGCCAGTATTGGATTGAGGTATTACATATGTCCAATAAATACAATAGGTGACTCAGCTTAAAAATTCCTCTTTCTCTGCAGCTATTTGTATGTGTTAGGAGGAGAGAAATTAGAGGGCTTAGAACGATAAGTTGCATTAGACATCCGTCGGCTACTAAGGCGCCATTGGTTAGAGGCGCCGAGTCTGCTTATTTTGTGTCATAACAAGTGAAAGAAAATCTTTGGGAATAATATCATTTTCATCTTTAATTTTTTTCGCTTCAGGGGGACATCAATACCCACATTATGCTCTTATTTCACTGAATACACAGGTGGACATCAATATAACACATTATGCTCGTATTTCACTAGAATACAACAAACTAACTTCAGCATTCCACTCTGCCAACCTAGCAAGAGTGGTCAAATAAACGCCCAAAATACACTTCAATGACGTTATTTTATAAAAGTGTGCTCAGTGCGTGTGCTGTCTATGATGGTTGCATCGATGCTGTCAACCACACGTGACGCCGGACCGTGGATTCGCTTGCAGGAGGCGTACGTTACCATCATGGAGTATATTGCGGGACTGGACCTGATGCGCGTCGTCACCATGGAGGGCTATCTAGAAATAGACGCAGTGCAGGTCATCATGGCTCAGCTTATTTTGGCCGTGGAACACATGCATCTGCGCGGCTTCCTTCACAGAGATATCAAAGTGTCAAAGTGAGTGCAGCAGGGGATTAATTTCGGCTAGCTGGTAGTTCTTCAAACAATTTAAAACATCATTATAATAGACAAGGTATTTTTGTCTCTTTGAATGAGTTGTGTGTGAGTTCTAGTCGTTGTGTCTTTGCGTCTTTAACCGGCATGTTGCCTTTTCTTTATCAATGCGAGTGTCTTAACAAAGGTACGTGACGACATCCAACAATGTTGTTTTCTGTCAATTAATGATCACAAAATGCTTGAGAAGCGCGACTAGTTAAAATGAAATCGTAATTGGATGTAGACATTGCCCACTTCAGAGTAATTTGAATTTTATTATTCACCTTTTGCCTACTGCAAAAAATAAAGAATGGACTTAAAAAATCACGGTCATGCTACCAGTGGTTACTATTGTAATTAGCTGTAGTTTTATTAGAAAAAGTATTAGCAGTAGGTGTTCTACAGGCTGCTGGCCAACACAAACGAATATTGTTTTTCACGTAAAAAAATTATGAAATAATCATCGGCGTGAATGCGGATGTAGGCACAGAGGTACGAATAAGATTTGCAAATATTAGATTCAAACGATTCGAAATTTAAAAAACGTGTTCATGCATTTTCATGAGAGTATAGTCATCTCAGAAGCTAGCCAATATATGGAAGCAAGCCTGTTGCCGAAAATGAGCGCCGTTATAATTTCAAACATCACATCTAACCCTTACCGTTTTGATAATTTCATGATACGACGAAACATGGTGCATAGTCATATACGTTCCATATCTGCAAGTAATGCCTTACGAATTCAATTCCGGTAATAGTAGAACCGCGATGTGTGCTGACTGAAAACAAATTATTAATAGCCACTTTGAGATAGTGTTCTTCCCACTCTCAGTTAATAAGAACTCCAGAGTTACTCGCCAGAAAAATGTTCATGAGTTGAGCAAATAAAATTCTGAGCTGCTACGGATACTGTCTGAGTGGCGAGATACGCTTTTTCAGCATGCTGATCCTGCCAGGCGGACGGGTCAAGCTAATTGACTTTGACACAACTAAAGTCTGCAACGGGCACTGTAAGTAGTTTCTCGTGCATTACAGGGTGAAAATAGAACATACATTTCCAACGCTGCAACCATCAGTGTAAAAAATAGAGCACGATGATAACAAGTAAAAGTTGCCGTTACAAGCAGTAACCGAATTGAAGTTAGAAACAATTAATGAAACGATTAATACTCTAAAACCTTCAATGAGGTCTAGCTTTCTCAATTTACTCACGTTCTCGACATCATACCTCAAAGGCAGTATCTCATACGCATTACGGGTGAGAGTGGATACGTAATATATTTCACTGCAGTCGGCAGAAATATAAAAAAAAATCTGATTTGGGCAGTAAACTGATTCAATATTTAAAGATGTCAATTTCGACCACTTATGAAGTGCCTTATCATTGATATCATGTATAAGTTGCCTAGGATTTTCACTCGTTGATAAGCAAAGTAATTTAACTTTTTTTTTCAATTTTTACGATAATTTTGTGCTATGCTTTTCGTTAATGATTGTAAAAGAAAACACACGAAGCATTTAACAGTGACAGATATTCAAACTTTGCCCTGGCTGAGGCCTGAACCAAACGACTCAAGCGGTACCGAGTCTGCTCATATAGAGAGAACGTGCTGTAAATTGTAAATTGCATGGCCGTACATCTCCTTGAGGAAGGAAGGCTCCTTCTAAATATTTTTATTGTATACTTCTCGCGTTAAGTTTCCATATCATCGGTCAAAACTATCGCATTTAATCATCTATAGCTCTACTGTCATATAGTTCGTCAGCATTCTACCCTGCGTAGTTTGTGAGATGTAGAGTAAACTCGACGGAGCAGACAGTCACAGAAAACATGCTATGGCTTGCAATGTTCACTTATGTCATTTTTTTCTTTAAATGCCAACAGTTTCCAAACGCCTTCTACGTGGTTACTTCCGACGAACGCCCTTTGAATTTCACGATGGCGAATCAGCCGGCACCATTCCTTACATGGCCCCCGAAGTCCTGAAGAGGAGGCCGTACGGTACGCATTAATGAATATTTATCGTGTAAAACACTACACGTATTTCTGTGTTCAACCTTTCGGTCATTCAATAAAGGGTCGAAAGAACCTAGTATTGATGACAGTTTTACTTGCAACGCATTTCCCGATACCCTTGAAAGATGTGTACGCAGCAGGTGTTTACTATTTTCTTGAAGAAGAATACACAGGGTGTGGCGTTATATATATGTTCCCGCTCCTTGCTTTGTGATTCGTCCTTCAGCGCTATTATCGCTCCAGTTTTGATTTTCTGCTGTTACTTGAATTACTCTATATTTCGTACTCTTGGAGCGCACCTTTTGTGTTAATCTATTGTAAAGCTATTGGATTGTAAACTATTGAAAAAAGATTTTTTGCCGAAATTTAATTTTCAGTAAAAAATTATTTTACTGGATTATGGGACTTTTTTTCATTTCCGGTATAGCCTGAATTCACTGGAATGTCACCGGATTCTTTACCAGAATTTTATTTCCAGGAAAAAAACTATTTTACTCGATTCAAAGTGGCAATGCAGGCGAGTTGGTTCATCGTTACAAAATGGAATCAGCGCGCAAACAACGAAGACACAAGGAAGAGAAATTGACAGGACAAGCGCTGGACTTCAACTGAACGTTTATTGAAAAAGAAACTAACGAGGAAAACAAACAAACCACCAATCATCACCCCATCAAAACGTGCTCAAAAAAGCTACCTCTCTCTTAAGTAAAAAAAATTGATGTTTGGCTGACGCATTGGGCACCTTCCTTTCCTATCTCAAATGCTTCGAGCAGCTCGCGTGCTGTCTTATCGGCCCCTCTTCCCAAAATCGAGATGCGATCAAATATCGGCTCGCACGAGCAAGTGCTGCAGTGTAAAGGCAAGTGACCGCCCGAGGTTGATCGCAGCGAAAGCGCGTGTTCACGTGCTCGGTCATTAACACATCGGCCGGTCTGGCCGATGTATACTCGACCACAGCTTAACGGGATCCTATAAACTACCCCCATCGCGCACTCGACGTACTTGTTTCTGTGCTTTACGGAACATCTATTCCTTCCCGTTCCCCTGTCCGCCACTCTGGGGCATAGCTGCAGCATCTTGCTGGGCGCCGAAAAGACAACCGGTACATCATAGCGCCCCGCAATCTTTTTTAGATTGTGGGATACCTTGTGTAAATATGGGATTACTTGCGGTCTCCTATTTGGCCGGTCTCTTGGTTGTTGGGGTCCCGTCTTTACCTTTCTTAGTAGCTTTTCTGCTACCGCCAACAGAACTGTCGCTGGGAAGCCCGCGGAGCTAAGCCGATCAATCTGCTTTTCAAAACTCTCCTGCAACGTGTGCAGGCAAGATTTTGCTAAGGCCAAATAGGAGACCGGCCAAATAGGAGACCGCAAGTAATCCCATATTTACACAAGGTATCCCACAATCTAAAAAAGATTGCGGGGCGCTATGATGTACCGGTTGTCTTTTCGGCGCCCAGCAAGATGCTGCAGCTATGCCCCAGAGTGGCGGACAGGGGAACGGGAAGGAATAGATGTTCCGTAAAGCACAGAAACAAGTACGTCGAGTGCGCGATGGGGGTAGTTTATAGGATCCCGTTAAGCTGTGGTCGAGTATACATCGGCCAGACCGGCCGATGTGTTAATGACCGAGCACGTGAACACGCGCTTTCGCTGCGATCAACCTCGGGCGGTCACTTGCCTTTACACTGCAGCACTTGCTCGTGCGAGCCGATATTTGATCGCATCTCGATTTTGGGAAGAGGGGCCGATAAGACAGCACGCGAGCTGCTCGAAGCATTTGAGATAGGAAAGGAAGGTGCCCAATGCGTCAGCCAAACATCAATTTTTTTACTTAAGAGAGAGGTAGCTTTTTTGAGCACGTTTTGATGGGGTGATGATTGGTGGTTTGTTTGTTTTCCTCGTTAGTTTCTTTTTCAATAAACGTTCAGTTGAAGTCCAGCGCTTGTCCTGTCAATTTCTCTTCCTTGTGTCTTCGTTGTTTGCGCGCTGATTCCATTTTGTTTTTTACTCGATTATATGACTTTTTACGCTTCCAGTAAAACCTCAATTTACCGGAAGTCACCGGATTTGCTGCCATTCACCGAACCTTAACGTGTTTTTTTTTCGGACGTCAACGAAAGGCATTTAGGAAGAGGCCTGTGAGCCGTGGGTGATTTACGTTTACCAGATGCTGAACGATTCGGTAACAATTAAAATGGTTAGTCCATATAGGCCTGCAAGATACATGTCTTTATTTCAAAGGTTTGATACCTGTGAAACAATTTGCACAACTGTAGACAGAAGCAATCAGACCAAATAGGAACAACCGAGTTGTTTGTCGCAAAACAAGACATCTTTCAAGGTACTCACAATGCCGCTGGGTAAATTCCTAGATGTACGGTAGTTCGACTAATAAAACCGAGCAGGTGCACCTCACAGACACACACACACACACTGTCAGTAGCACGTTCAGCGAAAACCACGAACGCGCACCAACATCCGCCGCCGTTGAAAATAAATCATGGGCACAGTCACGGTGTCGCCACTGATGCCGTCGCCGCGGGTGCACCACGCGGACACTTACATACTGTCAGTAGCACGCTAGCAAAAACCACGAACGCGCGGAACGAACATCCGCCGCCGTTGAGAAATCACGGGCACAGCCACGGCGTCTCTGGCGTCTTTTTTGCTCTTGGATGCTTCTGAAGCCGGATGGAAAAAGAGGCGTAAGAAACAGGTCACTAAAATCTATTTTCTTTTTATCCGCACGCCCAGCTGCTTTCGCAGATACAGGTCGCACACATGGAACGAGACGCCGCCACTGAGCGTCCGTTCGTTGCTGCTCGTTGACGGACAAAGGAACCGGTTTTCTTCGAAGCAGAGAGCAAAAAGACCCAACACATTTTCCCCACGAACCCAAATGCGACAGAGAGAGGGTGCGTGGGGACTCGTCCTTGGTGCGTTCTAGGCACCATAAGTACACACCCGATCCCCGGCTCGTCTCGGCTTCCCCCTCCCCTCGTGTCGGCTGCCAGTGAATTTCGGTTAACGGGGAAACCAGTCCCTCGCTTCTGGTAAAAATTTCCAGCAAAGTTGGGGTCGTCTGGTAAAGGAAAGTGGCTGCGGGTAAAATTCCGGCAAATATTCCAACAAAGACTGGTAAACTACACTGGTTTCGGATAAAAACGAGTGAAACTTGACCAGTTTTCACCGGATGTCACTGGAAGTTCATCGTTTCCGGCTTGAGCGGCGTCGGCGTCGGCGTCGCCGTCGCTCAAGCCGGAAACGGGCGCGCTGCACTCTAAAATAATATGTCTGAGACGCGAGACACTAGATTCGGAGAGCGCGTCTTTGGAACGCGCTCTCCGATGTAAATTCGGCTGCCTGAGAAAAAATTTTTTTTTTTATGGAATGAAAATTTAGGTGTGTCAGCCGAACAGAGGTCACGTGACATCTCCCCCCCCCCCCCCGCCCCCCGAGACGAGGGGAGGAGGTTGAAGGATGAGGGCACGAGGAAGAGAAGGAGGAGGAGGAAAGGACGAGGGGAGGAGGAGGGTATACCCCCCTCAGTACCCTTCCATCCTCCTCCTCAAGAGCTGCGCTCCAATTCGGCGAAATGACAAGTCTGTGCTCCATCGGTCGAACACGGCACAAAACGCCGCGACGTTGTAGAGCACTGCCAAAATAATTACTATTCAACGTATTAAAAATTATACATTTAATTAAACAAAAAAATCAGCTCGAAACAGGCGATGGCCACGACTACAGATGCCCTGAATTCAAAGAACCAGTACACAACAATTTCAACAATCCTATAATATATACTCAAACAATAGATCATAATGTGTCAATGGAAGTGGTATTGTATGGAACACACCACATAGCAAATCTTCAGTTTTTTGTTCACCAATATCCAGGGAAACTGTACTTAGAGCAGAACAGCTCTTGCGGCAGAATCGATGCGGGAGCAAGTCGTCCGCTTCTCGAGCATTAGTTGCGTGAAGTCAAAATGACGCCAACCTCTGATTGGCTCTGATTGAAGGATAGTGGGTAGACCTTAAAGCACGCTTCCTTGAGGTCTACCCGCTATCCTTCAATCAGAACCAATCAGAGCTCGGCTTTCTGACGTCACCACAACTCCCTGCAAAAGCAGCAGACGAACTTGCGCTCCGCATAGGTGAGCATCGAAAGGGTGGTGGTAGTTTGTGCCATAACAGACTGCATCACACATTACGATGTCTTCATCACGGAATCATGGAGCATTCCGAGTGCGAGTTCTCCCGACCTTCCGTCCTAAACAGCAATCTTCTCGGTTGCTAACTAACAGCGAGGGTCGGCAAAGAGGACCTCGCCTGGAACTTCTTTCTGAAAAATGAACGCAAAGAAAGTTCTTCGCTAAGCATTTGGGGCCTCTAAATATTGAATGTATGTCGACCATTTTAAAAGTGGAACGCCTATGCACGCGTTTATAAATGTGGAAGCTGCCGTTCGTATTTCTAAGTAAAATACAAATACCTCAGGTGTGAGACGGGGTGGAGAGGGGTATTGCATAAATTAGTAAAGCAATATCTTCGTTTTTATAAATTTAATTATTCGTCATCAATATGTACCAACTACCGAGCTGTATTACTACTGAACCAAAAGATTCCTTAACACGAGTGTAGGTTTTTACCAAAAAATCTAGAAAACTAAAATGTTGTCGCGCACAAACTGTCGCCTGCTCCCGTCGTTATCTTAATCTATGGTTATTAAGAAAGGGACCAAAAGCGTGTGAATAGGTCTTATCATGTGTCCAGATAAATGAATCAATCCACCCTACGCAAACACTTATCGTGCGTGTCACAATGTTTAGAAGCCCAAATCACAAGCACAATGCCGCATAACTTCACACGCATATTGCGGCTCGGGCATCAATTCACAGTTATTTTTTTTAGTAAGGCTCATCGCCCATTGTCAGTGAATCCTTGGTCCCCTCTGGACTTTTATTTGAACTTTCGGTTCTCGTATTCTTTTTTTTTTTTTAGACAGATTTTTTTTTTTAGGTTCTATGTTTTGAGGACACATTTTTTTCTTATTATTGCCCGCTGTGGAAGACCAAGTAAATAGGCTACAATAAGTCTACTGGAGCACGAGATTTGGTTACGCCATTGTACTATCAATTACCGCCAAACCCTGTGAATAGAGAACAACGTACACAGCCGACATAAACACATGTACCAACGGCGTAGCAAAAAAAAAAAAAAAAGAAAGAAAAGCTTCGTGCGATTTGGAGATATTAGTAGAATGTCCTGCGAGCCCCAGCGAACCACAATACTTTCAAAAGATGTACTCAAAGCTCGACGGCGGCAAAGGCAGGCGTCTAGATTTTATATGTGCACACATAAAAACGGAGAACGCCGAACACAACAAAACGCAAGCAAACGAATACGCGTAAACTGCTCTTTGCCCCATGCAGATATAAACATCAAGCTGAAGCCAAGACATATACCTTTATGTTCCCGCAGATCAAATTTCGCTCCGGAGAAGCTTAAAAAGTTACTTTCAGCAATCGAATCTTAGGAAGAAATGGAGAACACGTTCACCCAAGGTGCCTGAGTTTTCGTGCGCCGATAGTTCATGTCGACATTTCATCTGCGGGGAACAAGTGGCTAACGAAGCAGCTTTCCCCCGGTAGCCCAAGAATTCAGATTCTCCAAACGTCCTTCTTTGTTAGAGCCTCCCTGGCGAACCTCAAGAGCGTACAGTATGGAGGAGGATCGCACAGAAAAAATGGAGTCGCGAGCATTCCGAAGCCCACGGTCCCTACGGTCCGCCGGTCAAAGCTCCCACTCTGCGACTCCCCCGAGGAAGCCGAGATCACGCGCGTGGTCACGTGAGCGTAGTTTCGAAATTTGTTGAACACACTGTCTTTCTTATGCGCCTTCTCTCCAATTTCCATTGGTTTATTTTTTTTTTAATTTTTGTTGTTGGTTTGGAAGAAAATATGAAGACTCACGGAGGGTTACAGTGAGGGCTGTGTAGTTTACCGCGCTTTTTATATGTTACTGTGAAGACGTTACACGTCGGTTGCCATCAAGTAACCCTTAGATCAACTTTGCGGCTTTCAACTTGGGCCTTGTAACGTATAGTCTAGACAACAAATATTAAAAAAATCGAAACAACTGCCGTTGTGACCTTTATTCTAAAGGTTGCTCAGGTTTTATGTTACATTTAGGGTAACCGAGCTTAGAGTGTACTTACTGCTCAACCGCAGGGAGGACAAGACAGGCTGCCCACTTAGCAAACACACCTTTATCAGGCCCAGCAATCGGGGGCTACGTGTTTTTCTTCTACATGCCCACACGACACATTGCTCATCTATATTGATGAGATCAGATCAACTCTGACAGTTTAAATTATAAAAAATGTGTGTGTGAAGGCACGCTCCTTTGATTGTATACGCCCGCGAAATCATTTCGTGCTGTTTTATAGTTCAAAAACAAGGAAGCTCGCCGGGAAGTGTAAACGCCCAATCGCAGGGTTTACCACGACGATAGATGGTGTTAAATACCCCTCCCCATTCAAAGCGGAAGGCCCCGAGGGATTGGCGCATCAATCCAGTCGCATGAGTTACGCCAAACATGTCAGCGCCAAGGCCATTGCAATATCCCCCTAGTAAAGGTATTTAGCCCGCTCTGCTAAAATGGAAAGAGTATGAGGATATCTACTATTCCTAACTTGCAGCAGACTATAGTCAACCTTACTAACATCGTATACTACGGAAAATGCAGGAAGATCGGCTGACTGGTGGTCTGCGGGTGTTGTGATGTACAAGTTGATGACTGGCCGAGTACCATTCCGTGGCAAAACGAAGCAACTTCTTCGCGAGCGCATCATCTCTTCGCCAATTAAGTGGCCCCGTGCCGACGAGCACAAGCACTCGGCGACCCCTCCGGCCAAGCATATGGCCTATCGAATGCTTAAGAAGAACCCCGTCGACCGTCTGGGCTCCAAGACCTACCGTGACCTGAAGACGCACGCCTTCTTTGACAACTTCAATTGGAAGAAACTGTACAACTCGACGGACCTCTGCGACATACCCGGCATCGCTGAGATTCTGAGCAACGACGCCGAGAGGGGCGACAAGGGTGGCCCTGAGGCTGATGACAAACGCCGTCACCAGAAGGTGGAGGAAATGACCGACATCAGCAGTGAGAACCAGAAGCCCCTGCTGTGCTACTCGTCGCCCAGCTTCAAGAAGCTCATTAGCGAGGTACGTGAGACAGAATCCAATTCGCCTGGTGGTACTAATGCTGAGAACAAGGAAGTCTGAGAAAAATTAAACTGATTTGATTGTGATAGGCAAAAATGGCAGCCAAAAGTCATTTTAAATAGGGACATCCCGTAGCGTTCTGTAAAATTTGTCTTCGGGAAACCATTCTTCTCGGCATGTGCATCGGAGAATTATTTTTGAATCGAAATAATGAGAAAGACCCAAAACGTGAATGCTTAACTCGTTTATTATCGCTGCAAGTATCTTACACCATGGTGTAGGGTAAGGTGGGGCAAAATATGACAAAAATATTAATTTCAATGGTAATTTTAGTTTTGTTTTAATATTAAAAAAAACAGCATGGGGCCATTCTCACATGTCTTGACTTTATACTCGGTAAGTATTACCTAACTGGAGTAAGCGAAACATTAAGCAAAACAACAATATCTGAAAGTCATGTAATGTCTCATTTTGAACCGCCCTGCGGAGAAAAATGAGTCAGCATTGTGGGGTACAATGAAACACACTTAAAAAACCTGATTTGCGTTCAGTTTTTGCAATAAAAACACTGAAACGCACTGTGCGGGTTCCAACGCAATTTTCATGAACCCACCCCCTTGCATTCCATGCACTCGATTCATGCTGAATGCGGGGCTGCTCGGCTTTAACTGCTTTGCATAGCAGGCACTGCCAGTCTCTTGGGGTGCGCATCCCATGGTCTGCATCCAGAACGCTCAGACACTGCGCGCTTCATCGGGGGGTTATTAATGATATGTGTCTTCAATTTCATGTCTGTTCTTTTCTTTTTCTTTTTTGAGGGGGGTAGAGGGGGTAGGAGGGTGAAATTCTAGTCCTCAGTTGCTTTTGCCAGTATGAGCTTTGCCTTGTGGTGAGATGACGTGAGAACAGCGCTGCTATCGACCTCTCGTTCTCTTTTTATATGCTACATTAGTCAAGACAGAATAAATGTTCTTGAAACTTCAAACGTCGAAAAGAAGGAGCCTTCTGTAGCCCATCCGATCTTTTGTAGAGCCGCTGCTCTTCACATTCCCCGAGTCGATTGGCTCGCCTTTGAAGCGGATCCTTTTGTACGCCTAAACGTGTGGCTGCAGTGCGAGCGGAGTGACGCTGCTGCTTGACACTTTCAAGAGCTTTCTTCGTGCCGCCGCTTTCACGCAATGAAACCCTTTTTGTATTTCTGTTATACGTTCGGACCATCCTAGACACCAGGAAAAAAAAAAAAAACATGGCTCAAGAGCCGCCAGGAGACTCGTGCATTATTAACACGCGCGTCATAAAATGCCAGATTGTCGCGTTTTCCTCGCGCGTAATCTGTCACGTCAAATTAAAAAAAAAAGCAACGACAGTTCGCTTCTATCTTGTCCACATGGAGCTAATAAAGCAAACCAATAAAACTGAAGCTTACCTTGGCAGAATAGTTTGCGCGAACCTGGGTGCATATCTCGAATGGAAGCTTCGTGTTGAAAGTTTGCGCCTTTTGGTGGTGGTGGGAGAACGAAGGGGGGAGGGGGGAGTAAACGCGTCAACTTCAACTTTGCATATTTTTTTCGTCGGAACCGTTTTGATGACAGCTCCAATTTTTTACGCACGCATTGTACAGGAGACGGCACCTCTCGGTGGAGTTTGAAAGTACTCCAGCTGGTTGTCTAGAAGATTGATTGCGCTAAACAGAAAGTTCCGCATTGGTGCCCCGCGTCTCATTTTACATCACCTTACCATTATAGCGGTTATTCTGACTCCAGCGGCACTAAAGCTGAAAGCCGCCTTCGTTAAAAGGATTTTCCGCTCAAAAACGGCATTTTTTAAACAAGCCTGAAAAGTTTTAGACCGTATATGTTTTGGAGTTGTTTCTCCAAGCAATATTCAATATTTTAGTGTATATATATAAATCAGAGATCTGTACTTGCCGAGTTGCAATACATATACACGTATATAAACAGGGTGTTTAACTAAAAGTGGACAAATTCGATATAGCGAAAACTACGCTTCGCTACAAAACAAGGCTTGTGTCGTTTTGGTTCTAAGCCCGGGGCCCATTTAGGAAAATTATTAACGCTTGGGATATTTATATTTTTAATTTTTTTTGGCGTAATTATTTTTTAATATTCAGTTTAAGGCCATGGTTTCAATTATAAAATTGCTCAGCATCATAGAACAACACTACATCAATACATTGCAGAACGATAAATGGTAAGCGCAGCATTTTACGGCTTTCTAAAAAACCGCACAACTTCGACGGGTTTTTAAGTTTCGGTTTGCAATCAGAGCGCTTCTCGGCCCCAACGGCACCGCTCCCCATGGGGAAATAGTGCAACCTGCCTCTGCTGAGTTGCGCGTGGACAGCGCAGCAGAGGTTGGGTGCACTATTTCTCTCTAGGTTCGCGATGCCGTCGGTGCCGACAAGCGCTCCGATTGCAATCCGAAACTTACAAACCTGTCGAAGTTGTGCGGTTTTTCAGAAAGCCTAAAATGCTGCGCTTACCATCTATATACCGTTCTGCAATTGATTGATTTAGGGCTTTTCGATGATGCTCAGCAAGTTACTAATTGAAACCGAGCCCTTAAAGACAATATTAAAAAGTTAGTTACACAAACATAAATAACAACTTCATTATTCCAAACTTTAATAATTTTCCTAAGTGGTCCCCGGGCCAGGACCAAAACGGCACAAGCCTTGTTTTGTTGCGTAGCGTAGTTTTTGCAATATTGAATTTGTTTGCATTTTGTGGAACACCCTGTATACACACACACACACACACACACACACATATATATATATATATATATGCTTGCTACTGCTGCATTACTAAAACACTACACTTACAGTTGAGTCGAAATAAGCAATGTTCTCGCTCCGCGGAAAGCTGAAGTGGCTTACCATTGGTTGTCATATCCCTAGTTGGAACCTTCAAGCAGATGCAGATACTACGAGCTTCAAGCTTCATCGGTGTACACAAAAAATTAAATAGCTAAAATTAGGAAAGCCATCGCATCAAGAAGAAACGTACCTGTACAGCGTCAGGGCGTTCATCTCGCGTGCGCCGCCAAGCTTGAATAACCTAAAAAGATTGTCTGAACAAATCAGTTCTCAGCCCTCCAACTTACATAATCGCTTTTGCTTTTTTTTGTACGATGTCAATACAGGCGAAGCGCAGTAAGAGCACACTCAACGTGAACGACTCTTTCATGGAGACGAGCGGCATGACGTCATCAGATTTTGACTACCCGATCCACACAACTGGCAAGCGTACTCCAGGAGTCAGTAGTACGCAATATCGTCTTCGCATTTTTCTGAAAAATTTGGTATCTTTTTTTATGTGTGGTTTCTTTTAGAATACCATGTATGCCATTCTTCACTTGCGCAGGTTTGGGAGAAAAGGACAGCCAAACTCAGCCAACGGAAAAGGTTAATCTCATCCTCTTCCGGAAGAAAAAGTTTTTCAAATACTGGAACTTTGGATTCAATATACGCAGAGTGAAGGGCGAAGGAGACACCTATTTTCTCTATGTTGAGGTGAGTTTTAAATAAAGTTTATGCTATAATATTTCGCGTAGTTCGGCATAAATGGATATGCTGACCTGATCGCTGCAACTCGGAGGGAAGAAATGCGATGGCACTATGGTGCGTTTGAGTCGGAAGGCTGTCCAGAACTTCGGAAGGCTAATTAGCCACCGCATTTAAACAGTAAGAGCAATTTGAAAGTAAACATTATTGACGGATATCTGCCTGGTGGGGTGAGAGTTAAAGCCTGAAAATGTATTTCCAACCAAACTTTGAAAGGCAACCCGACGTTTCAAAACCAACACGGTTTCTTCTTCAGGGGTGACTGAAGGCACGAGGACACAGCAGCAGCTCCTAACCTCTTCGTCTTCCAAAAAGAAAAGAAGGAAGAAAAGGAAAAATTAAAAAAAATCTAGAAAAACTAATAACGTTTGGAAAAAAAAGTTTTTATTTTGTTTTTAGAAAGTAACTCTTTATTTGTTCACTTTAGGGCCATAGTTTCAAGTAGAAACTTACTGGGCATCATCAATAACCCCTATAGCAATCATTTTTAGACAAGTATAAAGCATGCCGAGCATTTTAATATGTTGTCAAAAACCCTTAATTCTGACGCGTACTCTGGTTTCAGATTCTTAACCTTGGCGGCAGCTGTCCTGCCCTTCGACGGCCGAAGCGCAGAACCAAAGCCAGACAATTCGCTATACTTCTTTTCAGCTTAGGTCTGAGCGCGGCCGATGTTATGAACCAAAGGGCCAATCAAGCAGCGAAAGAGGCACAACGTCATGGCGTGGTCTTGCAGTTGATTGGAATAGCCGGTATTCGCCGTGTCTCTGTGGGTGCTCCTCCGCCGGCTAGTTCTATCAAGCGCAGAAAGAACGCCATGACGTTGCGCTTTTTGCGCTGTTTGATTGGCACTTAGGCTCTTAACATCGGCCTCGTTCGGACCTAACGTGAACCGAAATATAGTCACGCCCGCCGGCCCGCCAGCCTCCCTTCCCTCTCTCGTAGAAAACAAAGAAGTGTAGCGTGCGCTCGTAGCCAGGCGATAAGGAACGCCTCGCTGTTCGAAAAAGAATGACATTGCAAGATTGAGCTTTCACTTTTGGGCTAACCTTGGTTGTGCGCTTCAGCCGTCGGAGGGAAGGACAGCTGCCGTCAAGATGCGCTAGGATAAGAATCCGAAACCAGAGTAGGGTACGCGTCAGAATTGAAGGGTTTTTCGAAACATGGTAAAATGCTCTGCATGCTTTATACATGTCTAGAAAGGGTTGATATAAGGGTTATTGATGATGACCATCAAGTTTCTAATTGAAACTATGGCCTTAAAATGAACAAATAAAAGTTACTTTCTAAAAAACTTTTTAAAAACTATTTTTTCTAAACGTTATTATTTTTTCAAAGGGGCTCTTGGGCAGACACCGACACGGCATCAACCTTTTTTCTGTGCGATGCTTAGTTTTCGCAAGAGAAATTTGACCTGCGTTTTCTGAAACACCCTGTATATGAACTGACACTGCACCTGCAGCCAAATTGGCAAACTACATGCGCAGCAAAGCACTTGTAACAAGGAGCTGAAAAATGAAACCTAATGTTTTCGTTGTAACTGATGTCAAGACTTCTTCAGTAGATTGAGTGTCGTACCTAGGGTTGATCGCGCTCATGGGAAGCAGATTTTTCGCAGTCCTAATGATGACAAGGATAATTTTATGTCAAGTCCTGCGTGTCCACAAGAGCGCGGGTTGGCTGTGTATGAGCACATCCATTCCATTCCATTGTACTGAACTCACTTAGAAGTAAGATACTAAACAAGACCAGCTGGTATTAAACCACCTGCTATAATCCTCGCCTGGAGTCCACATTTTGTGGGGAAAAAAGTAGCCATTTAAAAATTTCATTGTTTCTAAATAACGTCCAAACGCTCAGAGGGAGAAAACAAACTGGGCATGTTAACATGAGGAGAGCGCTCTACACTGGCCGTCCGGACAGAGAGATTCCGGCCCTCGGTGTCCTTTCTCATTTCTCAAGTCGGGGCTTCCTTCTAAGTACTCGTCGGCCCGGCGAGAACTTGAGGCAGGCCCGGAAAACCTTCTACCTTGTATAATAAACGCTGCGGCAGGCCTAGCGTTCCTACTCGGACCGTCCTAACCGAACACAGATTCTACCCTACGGATGTTCCTATTTCTTGACGCTTCGCTAAGGGAACCGTTCATCAGAGTTCTGAGAATGGTCCCTGACGATTTGAGAATCGATCTCGCCCGAAGAATCGAAAAATTGCCTGTGCAAGTCGACCGGGACGAATGACCTGCTTGTCCCTGCGGGACTTTCTCAACCCACTTGTATGGTGCTGCTGCATAATTCAATTTCCCGAAAAAGAGTGCCCGGCCCAAAGATTAAAGATCGCGACTACGTTCTTAATTTTGGCAGCTGAGGCACTGTCAGGATGAAGAAACACGGCGCCGGCATGACCACATGCTAATCAACAGTTGGACGATTGCTGGTTCATTCTTTAGTTAACCGACAATACGGTCGTATTGCTGGAACAGCCGTAGAACGTGGACAAAAGTTACAATGTTATATAGGTGTACCAGGTTTAAAGTCCTTTCCCACATTTGAGTCGGTTGTGTTCGCAGCAACCAAAACGACAGAAAAGAACTGAGGACTGGAACAACAGTGACTCATGCTTGCGTCGAGAAGCTGGCTTTTGTGTCGCTTGCCACGTTGTGCACGGTGAAGACTTGTCCCGGGGACTTTGTCGTTGCTGTCGTTTCGGCTGCTGCAAATGCAACCAAGGGAAGTGTCTGACCCAGGCTTTTTAAGCAAAAGAAATATCAACAAATTGTGTTGGACAACGTCTGTTGCGTGATTAGGTGGCCAGGCAAATGTTATGCTGATATCACATATAGCTTCGATGCCAGAGCTTTCAGATAGTAACGCGTGTCTTTATTCCAAGAAATTACCTAAATAGAAGAATTGAGGTCTGGTAAATGTTAGTTAAACAATAATCAATCCTGATGTGTGACTGAGCTATAATCAACGCTTGCACAAATTTATGTAATTCTCTGCTCTCCGTATAGCTAGAAAACGCACGACCGCCGATCGCTGTTTTCAAAGGCGACAAGTCGTCCATGTCAAGGGTACTGGGGACTACAACTGATTGAATGCACTGAAATCTCATGCTTCTGTGCTTCATTGAGCATTACACAGAGACGCAAGACGGTAGTAGAGTTACCATCATTGACAGCTTACGACACGCAGGGCGTGATTTAAGAGGAAATTGACATCCCCCCCCCCCCCCCCCCCCCCCGAGCCCGGTCCCCCAAAAATAGAGATATAGGGTGTTTAAAATACCCGAGCTTGATCTAAAATGGGCCGTAAAAATCGACGCCTGCACGCAGCAATGTAAACTTTTTGTCGAAGGTGTATTTCGCAGGTCGGTTTTATCTTGTAAAATTAGAAAACGTAGCTCTCTTTAAGTAATAAATAGGGCCAAAAAACTTGCCACGGTCAACGACAGACTGTGACGCAGACGACCGAGTTGAGAGGCAGGGCGCGGTCGGCGCACGTATTGATAGATGGCACTACCTCCTTATAGAAACTAAAGCCCCTTCATGTTTCAAAGGTAGCGCAAGGTTCGTCAATGCACGAGGCACGTGCAACGTGCAGCCCTTGGGAAGATCATGGCGGCACAGCGCAGCACTGGTACAGTGTCGCACTGAGCTGGATTTCAGACGCCATGAATTTCCCAGAAGTGGCGTGCGGCACGTGCCTCGAGCGTTTCTACAACAATGAATGGCGCCACTTTTCCCAGGATAGAGGGACTTTAATCGAGACCAGAGACATACAATGAGAGAGTTTGGCCAATAGGCGGAGCAAAGGCCGCCACAGCGCCGAATATTCCCCCCGCGGTTAGAGCGTAAACTAAATATGTGACAACGCGTCGACCAATCAGCAAAGAGCGACGTCACAATATTCGAAATGAAATTTAAAGCGTGAAATAGAAGAGTTCAATCTCGCAACAGCACGACGACGACGACGACGTTTAGAGGATGCCACACCGGACGTCGGCGATGCCTCAGTCTAAGTCCTAAGTCTCGGTACCTCAGAGGTGGCAGTTTTTTTGCTTTGACTGGGCCCTTGGAGCCTGATGCTTCGACCCCAGTGAACGACGGCACCATTATGCTCCCGGGGCTTCTTTGTGCAACCGTGCACCGATCGAACGGCAGGCTGCAGATCCCCTTGGGCCGCTGCGGACACTCCTCAACAAAATTTGGACATCTTCAAATTGGACTGGCATCCTCCGCAATAGCAACAATCCATCTCTTCGTCATCTTGCATGTATATACTCATCGCATTATCATGTTCCTTAGACGCGGCACCGCGGTCCTCCATGGTACGGGCTGTTGCCTTTCCGCAGTGCCGCCGCTCTCTAGAGCCAAAATAAAGATATTATTATTATTATTATTATTATTATTATTATTATTATTATTATTATTATTATTAGTTAATTATTAGACTACTTTGTGGCTTGTCAATGTATCTTTACTAAGGCAGTTCCTGTGACTGAGGCAAGGTACCGCTTTGAGAAGCTTGACTTGAAAATGTTCGATCGGCTCATTGCCGGTTATGACTGGGCAGCTTTGTTGTCATCTGTCAACGGCGAAAATTTATATACAAATTTTACCAGTGTTATACAAAAATTTCGAGGCCAATCAAAGAAGGTTGTGCATGTCAAGAAACGCAGGCCCACACTGCCCTGGATGACTTCTGAAATACTCGAGGCCATAGAACTCAAAGAGCAACTGTGGAGAAAGAGTCGGCGTTCTCCCAACAATGCCGCTTTCAAGCTGGATTGTAAGATCCACAGGAACCGTGTAAACGCTCTCATTCGTTCAGCGAAGCGGTCCTACTTTGCTAAAAAGATCTCTGACGCTGGTTCTGATGTCAGGAAAACTTGGTCCATTATCAATGAATTTCGTGGCTACCTGAAAACGAACGTAGCCGATAGTCTAATT